GGGAAGAAGTGAAGTTAGTAACATGCATTAATGGAACATGAATGAGTGCAGAAAGAGAGAGGAAGGGAGGAGCTCAGTGCACCATGGGAAATCCCCCGATAGTCTAGGCCTATAGCAGCATAACTAAGGGATGGTTCAGGACTCACCTGATCCAGCCCTAACTATAAGCTTTATCAAAGAGGAATGTCTTAAGCCTACTCTTGAATGTGGATGCAGATGACTTAGTGTTGCTTTCACCTGGAGTTGTTCCGAGTATCGGGAATGCCTCCGATACTGCTGAAAATGCTGGCATCGGTAATAATTGTTGATGGCAGTTGGTGATTAATTTTTTCTCTAATAGTAATAATTTTATTATAGAAGAAGCTCATGAAGTCATTGCTACTTAAGTTTATGGGGATATGTGGCTCAATAGAGCTGTGACTCTCTGTCAGCCTGGCTACAGTGCTGAAGAGGAACCTAGGGTTGTTCTTATTTTCTTCTATTAGTGCTGAGTAATAGGCTCCTCTGGCATTACGGAGGGCCTTTCTATAGGTTTTAAGATTATCTTGCCAAATTGAGCGATATTCTGATAATTTGGAAGAGCGCCATTTCCTTTCAGTCAAGTCATTTTGGACTATATAAATATATATATATATAAATATAAATATCATATATATTTATGATATATATATATATATAAATAAATATCATATATATATATATCATATATATATATATATATGATATTTATATATATAATACATATAAATAAAGTTATTATTATTATTATAGTTCAGTTTCAGAGCTGCAGTTGTTTCATCGAGCTCAACCAGCTGCAGTAATATCCTGCTGTTATAGTAATGATGGAAGTAAAATAAAAAAGAAGAAGAAAAGTTTGATTAATTCCATTAATTAATCAATTAATTAATTCCAATTCGGCCTGTAACCGTTACCGATATAAAACCTCCAGGTCGTCCAGCGCAAACAGGTCGTTGATCAATTCAAACAAAATTATGATAATAATATAATTTCCCAGCCTGAAATTCAGCTTTAAAAAACAATTTAATCAATAAAAGATAAACTACATTGTGTGTATAATATAATTCAAATGATCAATATCTAATCTAATAAACAATAATAAATAAAGGATAGATAAAGTATCTATATATCTATCAACAAATTCACAATGAAATTTAAATGAAACATTAAAAATCAATAAATGTGATTCTTCCAGAGAAATATGAAAATAAGAACTATAGTATATTATATATATTGTTACAGTATATGAACAGTTTAAACACTGTAGATTGAATCCTTCTGTCTGTCACTGCGGCTCCTCTCGTTTTCTTAAACTTTTAGTATTTTATCTCTCTAGAAATGCTTGTACAGAGAGTCTGGGTATATAATAATAATAATAATAATAATAATAATAATAATAATAATAATAAGTTCATGCAGGAAATGTTGCCAGGTTTGGGGCGTTATGCTTTTACTTTGACACCGGAAGCGGTGCGCTAGCTCCGCGCTAGCTCCGCGCTAGCTTTACCTTCGCTGCGACCACAACAACAGCTCGGAGTTGTCCGGAGAGAAGTGCGACTTCTTCACTTCGGAGCGAAATCCTTCTGTTCTCTTGTTGTTTTACCGCCTTTTAACGGCGCTTTTTCCCGCTCGGAGTTCGCCACAAAGTTTTCCAGGATGGTGAAAGTGTCTTTTAACTCTGCTTTGGGACAGAAGGACGTGAAAAAGGACGCAGAGACTCTGATTCCCGCGGAGGACAGAGTGAGTACGGGTGCTAACGGAGCTAGCTGCTGTTAGCATGGAGGTCGATGAGGAAGTCGCAGTTTGTTTAAAGTTTAATTCTCTAATTCTGTTTTATTGTTATTTTAATGTATATGAATGTATTTCTATGATTGTGTGGACTGTTACAGAATGACTTAATGTTACTTCCTCATTACTTTATTTAATCTTTATTTAATCTTATTTAGACTTTATAATGTTTGTCACTTCATTAATTTACTTTCACATTTCTGAAATCCTTTCTCTCTTTTGTTCAGTATTTAAAGACAGTTTGGAGTTTTTATTTTTCCAACCAGAAAGAAACAGAAACAGAAACAAAGAATAAATAAATAATAATATAAAATAGATTCAAAGTTAGAAATATAAAGTCGTTTTATGACGTAATTGTTGCGTTAAAGCTTTTTAAACTGAATTAATTGAATTTAATATTTAACACTGTAAATAAATATTTTAAGTTTAAGTCAAATAAAACAAATAATAATCATAATTTACTTTTCTTTATTTTACTAACTTTAATCTTTACAAACAATCAAAAGTTGCAACTATTAAATTTTCCGTCACATAAATAATGAAACTAAATAAAAATAACAGGAAGTGAAAAACAAGAAACTTCAGAATAATTGAAGAAAGAAGAAAATAAAATGTTTCAGCAGAATAAAACAAAACTTTGTGTTTCTGTTAGTTTCACTTTCAAACGTTAAAACATCAGGTGGTGATGTCACGCTAACAGGTGGTGATGTCACGCTAACAGGTGGTGATGTCACGCTAACAGGTGGTGATGTCACGCTAACAGGTGGTGATGTCACGCTAGCAGGTGGTGATGTCACACTAACAGGTGGTGATGTCACGCTAACAGGTGGTGATGTCACGCTAGCAGGTGGTGATGTCACGCTAGCAGGTGGTGATGTCACGCTAACAGGTGGTGATGTCACGCTAACAGGTGGTGATGTCATGCGTTTTGAGGGCAGAGAGTTGTGGTGCGTTCGTTTCGTCCACCCGACTCGATCTCTGAGTCGGTTTCCTGAGTTACGAACAGGAAGTTGCGAACAGAACGCCCCCGAGGTCGTAACGTTATCAACAACTCGTCTGAGCTCAGAGGACCGAGTTCAGTCTCCAACACTGTGTTAGTGTTTGTAACCACAGAAGAAGTCGTGTGTAGTTCTGGATATGTAGTTCTGGAATATGTAGTTCTGGAATATGTAGTTCTGGGTATGTAGTTCTGGATGTGTAGTTCTGGAATGTGTAGTTCTGGATATGTAGTTCTGGAATATGTAGTTCTGGAATATGTAGTTCTGGAATATGTAGTTCTGGATATGTAGTTCTGGATATGTAGTTCTGGAATGTGTAGTTCTGGATATGTAGTTCTGGAATATGTAGTTCTGGAATATGTATGTGTAGTTCTGGAATATGTAGTTCTGGAATATGTATGTGTAGTTCTGGAATATGTAGTTCTGGAATGTGTAGTTCTGGATGTGTAGTTCTGGATGTGTAGTTCTGGAATATGTAGTTCTGGAATATGTAGTTCTGGAATATGTAGTTCTGGATTATGTAGTTCTGGAATATGTAGTTCTGGATATGTAGTTCTGGAATATGTAGTTCTGGATATGTAGTTCTGGAATATGTAGTTCTGGAATATGTAGTTCTGGAATATGTAGTTCTGAATGTGTAGTTCTGGAATATGTAGTTCTGGAATATGTAGTTCTGGAATATGTAGCTCTGGAATGTGTAGCAGATGTTTGTGTCCCTGCAGACGGCGTCCTGCTGTCCCCTCATGAGAACGTCTCGTCTGTGTGTCATCCTGCAGCAGTTAGACAGACAGAGAGACAGACAGACAGAGAGACAGACAGACACACAGACAGACAGACAGATGGTATCCACTCCAGTTTGTTTATTTCTGACCACAATATTTCCCAACCAGAACATCTGGACCTCAAACCAGCTTCAGGTTCTCTTTAGTCTGAATGTCTGACTCACAACCTTCACAAAACTCCCAGAAACCCCCAGAAACCCTGCAGGTGGAGCTCGCCATGAGGAAGGACCCACTGGCGTCTGCAGGTTGAGGGAGTTTCTGTGCTGCAGTAGGTGGACAGGTGGACAGGTGGACAGTGGGCAGGTGGACAGGTGGACAGGTGTACAGGTGGACAGTGTACAGTGGACAGTGGACAGTGTACAGGTGGACAGTGTACAGGTGTACAGGTGTACAGTGGACAGTGGACAGTGTACAGGTGGACAGTGTACAGGTGTACAGGTGTACAGTGGACAGTGGCCCTGTGCAGTAACTGCTGACTGTGGTTACAGCAGCTGAAATAGAGCAGCCAGATTTAGCCGCACAGGAAGGAAGCTTTATTCAGAGCTGTTACTGAAAACCACTCGCACATTATTTTAGATAAACATTATTCACTGAGGACACCAACACTTCAGTAACTGATCACTGTCTGTCTGTCTGTCTGACTTCACTGAGGATCAATAGCTGGTCCTGGTCCTGGTCCAGGTCCTGTGCTGCCCCACAAGGATTATGGTGTAATCAGTCAGATGGAGACTGATCCTCGGAGCGTTAGCTGCCTCCTGCAGGGCGACAGCTAAAGCTCAAGAAGGAGATTAAGCAGACAGACGGACCCCCCCCCTTACATAACGAGGACCATGTTTACAGGACAGAAACCTCTAAAGCTCATTAATCTACTAATATCTATTATTAGTAGATTAATGACTCTAATATCTATTATTAGTAGATTAATGATTCTAATATCTATTATTAGTAGATTAATGATTCTAATATCTATTATTAGTAGATTAATGAATCTAATATCTATTATTAGTAGATTAATGATTCTAATATCTATTATTAGTAGATTAATGATTCTAATATCTATTATTAGTAGATTAATGAATCTAATATCTATTATTAGTAGATTAATGATTCTAATATCTATTATTAGTAGATTAATGATTCTAATATCTATTATTAGTAGATTAATGATTCTAATATCTATTATTAGTAGATTAATGATAATATCTATTATTAGTAGATTAATGATTCTAATATCTATTATTAGTAGATTAATGATTCTAATATCTATTATTAGTAGATTAATGATTCTAATATCTATTATTAGTAGATTAATGAATCTAATATCTATTATTAGTAGATTAATGATAATATCTATTATTAGTAGATTAATGAATCTAATATCTATTATTAGTAGATTAATGATTCTAATATCTATTATTAGTAGATTAATGATTCTAATATCTATTATTAGTAGATTAATGAATCTAATATCTATTATTAGTAGATTAATGAATCTAATATCTATTATTAGTAGATTAATGATTCTAATATCTATTATTAGTAGATTAATGATTCTAATATCTATTATTAGTAGATTAATGAATCTAATATCTATTATTAGTAGATTAATGATTCTAATATCTATTATTAGTAGATTAATGATAATATCTATTATTAGGTTAATGAGTTCAACATTAAGCAGCTACAGTTTTCTAAGGAAGTGATTCAGTAAATGTGAATGAGGATTTATAAACCACAGAGAGGCTGCGATACAACACAGGCAGAGGCAGAGAGACAGGCACAGGGAGTGAGACAGACACAGGGAGTGAGACAGACAGAGGCAGAGAGACACCATGTGACTGTGTATAAGCTGCTCTATGAATGTTTCTCTATATAATGTTTAATACAGAGACGGAGCTAACGGCTGTGTGAGTCGGGTCAGGATGAAGTTTCACTAACAGACTGAAACTGATCCACTGACGACCCGTCAGACTGGAGCCGGTTCTGTGTGTGTGTGTGTGTGTGTGTGTGTGTGTGTGTCTGTCTGTCTGTCTGTCTGTCTGTCTGTCTGTCTGTCTGTCTGTCTGTCTGTCTGTCTGTGTCTGTCTGTCTGTCTGTCTGTCTGTCTGTCTGTCTGTCTGTCTGTCTGTCTGTCTGTCTGTGTCTGTCTGTCTGTCTGTCTGTGTCTCTGTCTCTTCTGGATGAATGAGTGAGAGCACACTGATACCAGACCGATTTAACTGGTTCACTTCCACAATCTGTATTAGTTCTGTTTCCTGCTGTCGTTTTATCACCTTAGATATATTTATTGATCTTTACTATTGATCATCTTTATTGATCACACCCTCCGTGCTGCCGTGGTGATGGGTGATGGGGGAGCGTTCCCTTTCGGAGCGTCGCAGCCTCACTTCCTCTGTCAGCTGTTCTTTGGTTCCTGTTTCCTCCGTCGGCCTCCAGAGGAACGTTCCTCCTCCGTCGGGGGGGTTGTCCCGCGGTCTGTAAGCGGAGGTGAAGGTCAGAAAGGGCTGACTGTCAGTTTCCTCCCGTATGAGCTGGTGTTTTTATTGCTGAGTCAGACTCAGACCGGTTCTCTCAGGCGGGAAGGACACTTTACTGTTTATTACTTTATCTGAACATCTCCCAGAATCCCCAGCACTCCCTGCAGTACACACTGTACAGCACACACACTACAACACACACTGTACAACACACACACTGTACAGCACACACACTACAACACACACACTGTACAGCACACACACTACAACACACACACTACAACACACACACTGTACAGCACACACACTACAACACACACACTGTACAGCACACACACTACAACACACACACTACAGCACACACTGTACAGCACACACTGTACAGCACACACACTACAACACACACACTACAGCACACACACTGTACAACACACACACTGTACAACACACACACACACACACACACACTGTACAGCACACACACTACAGCACACACACTACAGCACACACACTACAGCACACACTGTACAGCACACACACTACAACACACACACTACAACACACACACTGTACAACACACACACTGTACAACACACACACTGTACAGCACACACACACACACACACACTGTACAGCACACACACTACAACACACACACTGTACAGCACACACACTGTACAACACACACACTACAGCACACACACTGTACAGCACGCACACTACAACACGCACACTACAACACACACACTGTACAACACACACACTGTACAACACACACACTGTACAACACGCACACTACAACACGCACACTACAACACACACACTGTACAACACACACACTGTATAACACACACACTGTACAACACACACACTACAACACACACTGTACAACACACACACTACAACACACACACTACAACACACACACTGTACAACACACACACTACAACACACACACTACAACACACACACTGTACAACACACACACTGTATAACACACACACTGTACAACACACACACTACAACACACACTGTACAACACACACACTACAACACACACACTACAACACACACACTGTACAACACACACACTACAACACACACACACACACACACTGTACAGCACACACACACACACACACACACACACACACACACACACACACACACACACACACACACTGTACAGCCTGTTTCCTGCTCTCTGCTGCTCGTTGGACCCACAGGGCTGTGTCTGTGTTATGAAGCATGGCATTGTGGGAAACGGTGGCCACCTCGAGACCAACGTACAGTTAGAACATAATATATATATATATAAAGTATATATATATATATATATATATATATATAAAGTATATATATATATATACTTTATATATATGTATATAAAGTATATATATATATATACTTTATATATATGTATATAAAGTATATATA